TGGGGACCCCAGTTATACTAGTTTTTCATCACTTACAAGGCAGAGACTAGGAAGAACAGGAAGAAGCACTAAAGGCAATGCTGGAGCAACACAGGTATTAATAAAATCAGGCGGGCAGTATAGTATGGTGGTTAAAGTGTGGGCATGGTAACAAACATATCTGTGTTCTAGTTCTTACAGGGCACATTCTAGCCGGGAAACCCCGGCTAAATCATTTTTCTCGTAAAAGCTTTAATTCCATTCAACAAGTGTTTAGGATGTTTCAGGGACATAAGGGACCAACAGTAAACAAAGCATTTCTGCCGCCAAAACATGTCTTTCAACAGTCCGGAAGGCAAGAAATGTGAAACACTGGGGAAAATCTTATCTGTAAAATGAAAATCATATCCACTTCCAAGCGATTTGTGGATTGAATGAGATACACCAATAAAGCGATTACTCGGCTCTAGTGCCTAGCACCCTGGTGCTCAATAAGTACTAGAGAGCGCTGAGCAAAGCAATTCAGACTTGAAGTTTGGGGTCACTTCCTCACCACGTGATAAGTAGTAATCCTCTTAATCAGGTCGGCTCACCTAGGCTCCCCCACTCAGGGCCTAAATGACGTACGTCTACTTACGTGTGTGAGAGAAGAACCCCGGCTGCAGAGGACTCCGAGCCGACGGCTCCGAGTACTCATCTGGCGAGAGCCTCCGGGGGGCGCCTCTCGCCCTCAGTGGCCGGTTTACCTCCAGGACCTTTGGCGCCAGCGCCGGCCATCAGCGGTCAGGCGGGAACTCCGATTGGCTAATCTCGCCCAGAAAGGCGGGCCTCTTCCCGCCCTCCGCTGCTGTCCAATGCGCGTCTCTCGGCTCTGCTCCACCCCGCCCCCTCCGCCCCGCCTCCTATCTCCCTGGCGCGTTTGCGCCATTGGTGGCTCTCCCGGGCCCTGATGGCGGCATTGCGCGTGCGCGCTCGCTCCGCGCCCTCCTTGCGGGCGGGGGAGTAGCGGGCCCGGGCTGGAGAAGGCAGACTGCGCTCAGCCCGGGTGAAAGGGTGGCGGCGGTGCTGGGTGGGGTCGAGCTCCAACTGGCCGCCGGGCTGCGAAAGAGTCTGCGAGCCGCTTGGCCTGGACTGGCCGAGGGCGTCTGCGTGTGCCCGCGCTGAGCTGCCGGCGCTGGCGGCTGCACTGCTCGCTGGAGGCGACGTCGGGCGGGTCTCGCCAGCATGACCGAGCTGAGGCAGAGGGTGACCCACGAGCCGGATGCACCTCCAGAGGACAAGGTAGCGGCGGCGTCGGGTGGGCGCGGCCGGGGCAGCGGCGCCTCCGGGAGGCCCGCCCTCGGGAGACGCGCGCAGAGGGGTCTTCTTGCCCTCTGACCCCTGGTCGCACCCGTTCTAGGCAGCACAGGGGGCCCTCGGGTGCCTGGTCCCCGCGGCGCGCGTCAGGGGTCAGCAGGTCGGGCCCCACGCCGGGCTCTGGGTCGGGTTGGGGTGGTCCCCGGACGCAGGAAGGAGAACGGCGAGAGCTGCACACGGCCCCCTGCCTCGCAGGGCTGGTTGGGGGTTCCCCGCTCCCCCACCTCCCCGGGGGCGCCTCCTCTGATCGCGATGAGGCTCTCCGTTCCCTTTTAAAATGTTATTTTGATTCTTTTTCTGGGGGGCGAGGGAATCAAGACAAGGCCATAGGATTGCCTCCTGGGAGACGTAAATCCCTCTTGGAAGTGAAATCGTTGGCTTTGAGCAGAGAGGTGCCTTCCGCAGCTCGTCAGTCCGCAGGTGTTGGAGAATACACTCGCGACGGGTGGGCTTGTTTCCTGCACCAAATGTGGGCATTGATGGGGTAGAGGAGCAGAGCAGGAAGGAGGCCATCTTGGTGGGGACACAGCCGGCTGGGGGTTGAGGGATGGGAGGGTAGACTCCTTTGGTTGGAAGTTGAGGGTGGAGAGTGGTTGTATCACCGTGGACGTTGAATGACAGCATAAAACTTTGTAGTAGCATTTGTGCATTTCGAGTTAGCAGTGCTCAGAGGCCGTGTATTTGAAAAATTGATCCGGCAATAATGTGTAGAGTGGACTGGGGGAACCTGGACCAGAATGAGGGAGATTGGTTAGGGAGACTCAGGGCTGCCAGTGGGTGACTTGCAGATGTTTGCTTTGGCCCATGTGTTGCCTTAAAAATAAAAAAATTCTAGCTAGCTGAATTTCTTGCCTGTCTTGGATAATTGGAGGGTTCGCCATCACATTCTCACCTGATGGATGATTGGCTGGAGCTGCGGATCATCTGTTCCTAGCAATCCCTGTTTCCTTATACAGCACCCACTTATGTAGCCTGTGCTTTTTGATTTCTGGAGAAAAGTGATGTTAGAGAGACATCAAGAAGGCAGGAAGCACTAGATTTGGTGACAGGATTGTCAACAGAGCAGTTATAATAGGACTGTTTTGGATGAAAGATAGTGGCGTTTTAAACAACTTTTTAATTGTTGCTGTTGACAGTGGGTCATCCAAGGAGAATGGTCCATAATGAGTTTTAGAACATGTTTTATCCGGGTGAGATAGCTCATGCCTATAATCCCAGTTGAGGCAGGAGGATCCTGAGTCCAGGAGTTGGAGACCAACCTGGGCAATAATAGCAAGACTCTGTCTCAAAACAAACAGATATATCCTAGTTCAGCCCCAAAGAATTCTGACTTACCCTATATATTACTAGTTGGTGAGTATGCAGATGTTTGGAGACTTTGTAGTCCTGTTTAAGGGTGAGATCATACTTGATGTCAGTGGGACTTTGTGGACCTAGAAGGTGTGAGGAGAGAGAGAAGAAACAGAAGGCATGATAACTGGTAGGCTGTATTTTTGAAAAGCTTACTGTTTACAGTAATTAGACATGTTTTTAAAAATGGGGTTATGAGGTGAAACAAAGTTACTACTCTTCCTACCCAACTCCTTGGATCCACCCCCAAAGAAAGTTCCAGTTCATTCTTTCACACCCATGTTTTAGGAGAGTATGAGGAGCTGTCCAGCTGAAGGTGCCTTAATAGTTATAACTGCATGTACACTACTTACACAATGACAGTATGCCTGAGGTTGTGAGGTCTATTTGCATGTTTCCTAAAATGTATCTGCTATGCGTTTTGTTAAAAGTCTGACCCTAGCCCTAACCCTTATTCAGTATTTCTCAATTGTCATGTATAAGATTCTCAATGAGGACACATTTTAAAAACTGTGAAATGCATTTATTTGCCTTTGATGAACGTATATAGTGAAATTTTTAAAATCCTGATTTATTTTGTTTCATAGTTTGGAAAAAAATCTACTTCCATGATTCTGGAAGTATCATTGTGTTAGAACCCCAAGGAAATTAGAGATAATAAAACAAGGCTGTGTTATTAGGGAAATGGATTGTGAAATGGGAACTTTTCTTATTTCATAGTAGAAGAATGCAGAGAACAATTTTCAAGTCAGTTCTTTCAAAGATCTGGAACAAATGTGAAAGATTCCTCAAAATGTTACAGTTGCTTAGCTGTTGTGGCAAAACTGTCTTGTAAAGGGACAATCATTAGTATCAAAATAATCTGGAGAATTTGTTTATTTATAAGAGTCAGAAGGTATTTTGTTATATTTAGCATCCTAGAATGGAATTTTCAAAGCCAATTGCTAATAAAGGAAATGTTCTCCTCTGGGAACTGTGCTTATAATTTTAAAGTCCCAAAGCACAGTATAGTTGCCAAACTAAGAAATTTGGAATTTAAGCTTTGGGAATGATCCTCTTCCTGCCCAACAGTGTTTTTCCAATGGCACTTAAAAAGGAGAAGGGTGAAATGTGGTCTGCAAGATCAGCATTTTAAAATTTATTATTGGGTTGGCAGTTCAGGAGATTGTGCTTTAGAAGCTAGAGTGAAGATTCTAGGGTTTTCTGCTTTATTTAGATGTTAGAATACTATATAAATTAGAGCTTTACTTGTTTCAAGGCTTCCTTTCTAGATAAATAAAATCAGTATGTATGGACAAGAAATAGTGACATCATTTAGAAAGAGTTTAGGTTGGGCATGGTGGCTCACACCGGTAATCCCAGCACTTTGGGATGCCAAGGTGGGAGTATTGCTTGAGCCCAGGTGTTCAAGACCAGCCTGGGCAATATATCAAGACCTCATTTCTACAAAAAAAAGTTTTTGCCAGGCATGGTGGCATACGCCTGTAGTTCCAGCTAATTGAGAGACTGAGGCAGAAGGATCACCTGAGCCCAGGAGGTCGAGGCTATGGTGAGTCAGGACTGTTCTTCTGTACTCTAGTCTGGATGACAGTGAGACCCTGACTCAAAAAAAAAAAAAAAAGGAAAGAAAGGAGTTTAAATTTTTATTTATTACTTTTGTGTGTCTGGCTCTGTTGCCCAGGCTGGTCTCCAACTCCTGGCCTCCCAAAATGTTGGGATTACAGGCATGAGCCACTGAGCCTGAGCAGAGCCACTGCACCCAGTCTTAAATTTTAATTGAAGACAGTGGTTAAGAGCAGAGACTTAAGTCAGATCCACCTTAAGCCTAGTCTCTGCCACTTAGAAACTGTGTGACTTTGAGCTAATCACTTAAGTTATATCAACCTCAGTTTGCCCATTCTTAAAATGGATACCTCTATTTTATCACTATAAAATTGCATGTGCTTCATAGGATATTTGTGTGGTTTAAATGAGTATACATGTTATGTGCATATGGCAGAGCTTGTCACATTGTCATAATGTGTTAGCTATTATTGCTACTGGTTAAAATAGATTTTTATAGGAAAAAACTTTAATATTCACCTTCCACTCTTGGAAGATGATTAAATCTTCAAGTAATATGTGTTTGGAGAATCTATTCATATTCATCACCTTTTAAGGAAAGTGTTATAGAAAGGGCTTAGCCTTCCCTGACCTATCTTTTCTGTTTATTTTCTTGCTAAATTGTTCAGTACTCAGAATCACAGTTGAGCTTTAACTGTGGAAAGACCACTGGGCATTGCTGCATGCAGTTATCTTTCTTCATAGCAGACTATAGTATATCTTAGGACACTGGTGAATAAAAATGGTTTTCTAGGCCAGATGTGATGGCTCAAGCCTATAATCCCAGCACTTTGGGAGGCTGAGGTGAGAGGATTGCCTGAACTCAGGGGTTCAAAAACAGCCTGGGCAACTTGGTGAGACCTCGTCTCTACAATATTAGCTGGGTGTGGTGGTGCACACCTGTAGTTCCAGCTACTTGGAAGGCTGAGGTGGAAGGATCACCTGAGCTCAGTAGGTTGAGGCTGAGTGGCCGTGAGCGTTTCTTTGTACTCTACTCTGGGCAACAAGAGTGAGACTCCAACTCAAAAAAAAAAAAAGTTTTTTTTGACAGACTTTGAGGGTAAACTACTGAAATAAAATCTTATTTTAAGAACTATAACTATGTTATGTGTAGGAGAAGTGCTTTATTTCTTAATTTTAAAAAAATTGAGAAATAATTTGGGAATTGAAAACTCAGTAAACCTAACCCGGTGCAGTGGCTCACACCTCTAATCCCAGCAATTTGGGAGACTGAGGCAGGAGGATCTCTTGAGGCTAGGAGTTTGAGACCAGCCTGGGCAACAGGAGAGATTCTGTCTCTACAAAATACTACTACTACTACTACTACTAAAAATGTAAAAAGAAACATCAGCAAATCTTAACTAAGATTCCTAGACTTAAATAGAAAGAGAAGGTAAAAAATTGGTTTGTCAGATAACCCAGCATTTTAGGTTTCTTATATGTGTTGATCAGTGTAATTTTATCTCAAAAACTAAATTACTTCCTAATTAATGACTATTTAAAGTTAATTTTCCCAGAGTCTATTTTTAAAAGATGTTTTGTGTTTGCACAAATTAATATGGTATCTCATTAGAAGAATTTAATATCTTCTGAAAATGTTAAGTTCCTCTCATTGGATGTTAGGACTAGAAGGGATCTTAGAGGTGACATTTTTTTAGAAGAAGATACCACAGTCCAGAGTTTGTTATTTGCTCAAGGTCACACAGCTGGTTACAGAGCGATTATGAAGATCTTCTCATTCCTGTTTTTTTTTCTCATTATGTTGCATAATGCTGCCTTCAAGGGTATAGAATTAATTTCCCCACTTTAAAGCAGAAACTTTGATTATCTTTGGTAGATAAAATGCCCAGATAGTACCTGTTTTTCTCATGTGGCTACAAAATCAGAAAAATAGCAAAATAAGCCTTTCTAAATGTAAAAAAAGATAAAGTCTTCAGAGAATAAATGTGGAGGTTCTGTAAAGAGTATATATA